TCACCAACACCCCCCAATCTAGCCCCAGCTCCCACAGCCCCCTCCGAAGTCTGGCCCCAGAACCCCCTCTATCTTCAGATACCGCCAAGGTCTCTGCTCCCCTTGCACCAGATCAATGCCATGGCCTGCCTGCCAAGGCCTACCCCAGCCCCCAGTACACCCCTCCAAGGCCTGCCCCCACCCCAGATGCACACCCAGACCTGCCCCTGCCCCTCCTCCTGGCCAAGGCCCCAATCCCCTCCACACACCCCTGCTCAGACCCCACACACTGGCCCTTTGTCCCACCACGAGTGGTCAATGGGACCCAGGGAGAGACCAGGGCTATTCTGCATCAGGCGCAAGCCCCTAGCCAACCCCACGCAAGCAAGACGGAGGGGAAAAGCTAAACCCTGCTGCTCCACTGGTACTCTGCAGGCAGCTGGGAGACACCAGAGTTGCACAGGTTGGAGGGGCCTGTAGGGTGGGAATGAGGGAAGCCCCTTAGCCAACACCCGCCAACCGGCACAGTGCATCTGCAGCCAGGAACTGTGCTCTGTGGCCAGCACTCACTCTTGTCCCATGGACCCACCGTGCCTCCTGTTGGGGCTGCAGCAGGAGGGGCAACTTCTGCCTGCACCGTTGCCCTATGGCCCCCCACAGCTCCCTCATGAAAGACAGGGCACAACCAGAAATAAGGAGACAAGATTTATATGTAACCCCCCATGTAACCAGTGGCGCCACAGCAGGCTGCCCCCTCCCACTCCATAGCACCCCCTACCCATCTGTAGCCCCAGGCCTTCCCCTAGTGGGTGAGGCATTATCCTAGTAGCCCTAATGTCCCACCCTTGTAGCCAATACATGTCACTTAATCTCATCCATACCCCACGCCATTCCTGTCACCAGTTAAACCACACCCACTTCCACACCAATGCCACTCCCCGTCTTGGATAAGCCACGCCCACAGTCTGTGCCCTCAGGGAGGCGTGCCCTCTGTGGCACCCTGATATTGGTCGTGCAGGTCAGCCACGTTGTCGCTGGAGACACGGACCCAGCCATCCTGGCGCACGTGGTAGAGGTTGACTACGCCCCCAGAGTAGGCATCACGGTACGTGGCCTGGTAGATGGCGCGCCGGGCCAGGTTGTAGGCCTCCTCCACCGTCATGTCGGGAGCATAGCCACGGTCCATCACCCCATAGGCATACACCGAGCCCGAGCCGACAGAGAAGGCTGTGCCTGAGATGCGGTTCCCCTCGCTGTCTACATAGTAGAGGCCTGCGGGAGTGGTAACAGAGCAGGGGCGTCATTGCCCTGGATGCCCCCATATCCCCGTGGGCCCTCTTGCTTTCCACAGATAGGTGTCCAGTGGCAGGCCCTCTCATCTCACCAGGGGGGAGATCACCCCTGAGGACCTGGGGCATCAGGGAGAAAGGTGGGAAGTGAGGGTGAATATGGGAGCACCAGAGCCGGGGGTGGCAAGGAAGGGGTGAATTTGGAGGTGCCAGGAGGAGTGAATGGTTTGGCCCATTCACTGTATAGTGGCTGGCTACCAGGTTGGGTGAGAATCCCCACCAAATGGATACCTAGCATCAGCCATTTTGGGGAGGGCAGTCAGGTTTAACCCCTTATCAGATGGCTGAAGCCTGGCTACCATGTTAAGTGAGGGCAGAGCATGACTCATGGACCACAGCTGCCATCTTGGAGATGGATTCACTTTCAATCAGATACACAAGGGTCATTTGCCCTATTTAGTGATGGGAGCACGTGGAACCACTTGGCTTCTGTGCCATTGGGACTAATGGGCCCATGTTTGATGAGGGAAAAGTAGGGGGGGCCGCAGCTATATTGGAAAGGGGAAAGAAGCCATCACCCATCAGGGTGGTCTGCCCAAGTAAAGATTGTGTGACATATGCTTTGCTTCCTACGTTGTGCATGAGAGGGTTTTGGCCCCGGGGGTAGAATGGGGTGAGGAGGAGTCACCTACCTGGCCCCCGCTTGTCCCAGCCACAGATCATGGTGCCCATACTGAGCCCCATGCCCTTGTACTGGTAGACCATGTTGGCCAGCAGCTTGGAGGCAGCTGCCACGGAGATGCGCTCCTTGTTGCGGAGCTCATAGATGCGGCACTGCCGGGCCAACAGGCGCTCCCAGAAGCTGCAGTCAGCCGCGCCACCTGCCATGGTGCCCAGCAGGTATGCATTGATCTCGATCACTTTCTTCACCGTTTGTGAGGCCACATATGAGCCAGCTGTGGCCCGCGAATCCACGGCCACCACCACGCCATGCTGGAACTGGAAGGGAACAGAGGTCATGTCAGAGGCCACCCACGCCAAGCAAGAGGCAGCAGCCTCAACCACGTGGTCAGCCAACGGACCCTGAGCCAAGATGGCTGCTCAGGCTTGTGACACCAATTTCGGCTAATGGGCAGGCCCGCAGATGCCAGCTCAAGGTGGCATCTCTTCCCAGTCTGGGAAGCTAAGGGATGCCACCCACAATGGCTTCCCACCACCTGTGCGAGAGACCGACCTCAGCCAGTCAGACGCAACAATGGACGGCACGCAAGACGGCTGCAATGCCAAAAGATGTTACCCAGCGTGGCCACCCAGAACGTGAGAGATGCCAACCTCAGCCAATGGACACAGGGCCAAGACGGCTGCCCAAGCCTGTCAGACACCAACTGTGGCCAATAAGAGGGCCCAGGCATTGCCAAGTCAAGGTGGCTCCTCACGCCACTTAGTAGTGATGCCAGCCTCAGCCAACGGGACAGACCAGTGGACCGGGGCCAAGACGGATGCCCAGGCTGAGGCGTGAGTGACGCCAACCTCAGCCAACAGGTCGGGGCCAAGACGGCTGCCCACCCCTCAGTCCTGTCCTGCCCCACTGAGTGCCTGAGGGGCTCCCCCATGACCCTGCTCCCCGTGGGCGGGGCTCTCCCCTCCCCCACCTTGAAGCCCAGCGTGGTGGTCCCGTGGAGCAGCTCGATCCCGGCATCTTCCGCGGCAGGGGCCCCGCAGGCGGCGGCGGCCAGGCCGGGCGGGCCCAGGGGCTCCCGGGGCGCCGGTACATGGAGCTCGCAGGCGCCGCCGAG